CCCCCCCGTTCCTCCCCCTCCCTGCCACTGTGGCTGGCCATAGCCCTGGCAGCCCTTCCCGTGGGTGCTGGGGCTCTGTGCCAGCCTTGGTCGATGCAGAGGCCTGCAGGTGGCCTCTTCTGCTTCTTCTGATACACTGAAAATAACCCACCCGTTCTCACCACCACACCATCATGACACATAATGGGTTAAATTGGGAAGCATCTCCCTCCCTCTCTCCCAGTACTTCCTCCTGCTGCCTCCATCACTCCTGTACAAACTCCGGTCCCGGAAGTGCCTTTTCTAGGAAACAAGATCACCTGGCAGGGCGGACTGGTCCCTGGAAAATCCCTATCTGAGTTACACTTGCCATGTGCTCTAACTCATTGTAAATGGTTATTTACCTCCTGTGATGGTCTCCTGGTCTGTATCTGGTGCCCTACCCCGTTAAAATCCATCCTTGTGCAGGCAAAACCAGTCGGGGGGAATGCAGCTAGATGCTGTAACAAGACTTCAGTGTCCCAAGAATAAAACCAGTTTCTTTCTTCTTTTCTGCATGAGTGTCACATTCTTGTCTAAAGTATGTTTTTCAGTGATGTGTATATGGAGAATGCATTATAGGAAGGCTTAAGAGCATGTTTCAGAAGGGAAGTAGCCTTCCTCCTTCAAAATGGCAGCCTAACTGTATAAGCGATTTGAAGCCTAAAGGCCTATCATGGACATAGACAGTCCCCATCACTCATCCTGAGTGAGAACTGAATGAATCCAGGGAGCTATAACGTGGTCTTCTCCTGTTTAATGCTTACCATGGCAGCTGTTCTTCATAGGCAGAACCAGCACAAAAGCTGCATGTCCCAGTGGCTGCCCTGTTGGCCAAACACAAGGGAACATCAGTGTCTCTGGGACCCAACACTTGAAGTGGCTCCTTCTGTATGGAGGGATGTCCTTACTCATCTGGGGCAAGTGGTTGCACAGGTGCAGGGTACTTGAGATGTCCAGTGCCGTGGGTGAGGATGTGCTGGTGGTAGTGTTGGTGAGGCTCTCCAAGGCGGGTGCCTGCAGAAAGCAGGGGCCCTCTCAGCCAGGAGGTTATCTCAGGAGCTGAAGGCTTTGCCCTGGGCCAGCTGCTCACTTCCCACTGTCCTGGGAGTGACTGCGGGCCCCTGCAGCAGCTGACGTGTCTCTTACCGAGGAGAGGACAGGAACAGGGTGGCATGGCAAGGAGAGGGCAAGCTGGCACCATGGGCACCTCTGTCTTCCTGTGCCTCTTTGTCATCCTGCTCACCGGGGGCTCCCCAGCAGGGTGTGCTGGAGATGGTGGCTCTGAGTCCCAGGGTAAGTGAGCTTTCCTCCTGGCTCAGGAAAAAGGATGGGTCTGCTGTGGGGAGTGCTCCTTATGCTTGGTCTCCTTACCCAGAGTGTGCTGTGCAAGCATGTTGAGCTCGCAGGAGAGGTGTGTGAGTGAGCATGTAAAGGTGCAATGCTTGCATGCATGTTGGGGGACCCTCTTCGAGCTGCTCTTTGTGTACCCTTTATCTGACACTGACCTCTCCTCTCCGGGTGCTGCTGGCACCACAGAGAAACCTGTCCTGTTGAATGACATTGCGGATGCTGAAGCCTTCATCAGCGGTGCAGAGCTGGCAGTCATTGGATTCTTCCAGGTGTGTTCATAGCACCTTCCCTCCGCCAGCCCTATCCCACCCTGATGGGAGTGTGGAGCTGAATGTGGTGTAAACACCTTCTGAAGGCTGCTCCTGTCCAAAAAGGTGCTGGGGCTGTGACAGGCACGTGGAGGGATTAGGTGACAGGCTTTAAGGAGAATGCCAGGAATTTGATCTGTGTGTGGAAAGGGAGATGGAGCAAGGGAAGAAGGTGAAGGCAGTTGTAGGAGCCCTGGAGCAGGAGAAAGGGAAATGCTGCAATGGAAGCAAAGTGGGAACGTGGGTGGTAGAGAAACAGTGTTGGTGAGGGGTGGGAGGGAATGTCAGTTGTTTGCTTTAGTCAGTAGAGGAAGGCACTGCCTGCGTAATGAGGCAGAGGAAGCTGGGTCTCAGAGAGCAGTGCTGGTGCAGATCCTTGAAGTCCAAGAGGATTTGGGCTCAAGCTGCGACCTCCTCCCAGGGAGGGTGTAGCAGTCTTGCTGCTTCATTCCCCAGAGTTGACATCATTGGGATCTCTCCTCTCTGTGTCTAAATTCAACTGAATTCAGCCAAAGGTATTAGACTGATAGATGGGTGTGTGCCCCTTGCCCCAAAAATGGCGTAAATATTTTTCCTTAGGAAACAAGACCAAAATATGTATTGAGTTAGAGCACCATAATACAGAGGCCTCTTAAACAGGACCTTAATTGTTTTTAAGGTCTCCAGATTGCACCTTTTTGCTCCTTTTCCTTGAGCTCTGCCCTGGGTTTGTGCTGCCCACACACTGCCTCATGGCTTGACAATAGATGTCATCCTTTCAAAAACAGCTCCTTTCTGCAAGCTTCTTCCTCCTCCTGCCCTGTGCCTGGGGCTGAAGGGCAGCCTAGGGAAGGCATAATGCCCTGGGTGTAGGACAAGAGCGTATAGCAGCCAGCCCAGAGCGAGTACCAGTGTCGCTTTCTAATGCAGCACAGGCAGCAACAAGTGTGTGATCGCTAGAGGCTCATGCCCCAGGGGCCTTTGCTAAGCACTGATCACAGAGCACCAGCCACCTCGCCTTCAGCGCCTGCGCATTTAGAGCTCCTCCAGGGTTGCTTCTGCGCCGCCACAATCCTGTAAACCCAAGAAGCAACCCGCACACACAGAACGAAAGTGCGCTGATGCTTCCTTCCCCCCAGGGTGGCTGGCTGGGCTTGAGGCAGGGCTGTACCCGGGGCGCAGAGCCTTCTGCCCAGCTGTAGCAGGGACTGTGGCTTTTTGCTGGGTGAAGCAACGCCGGGGCATAACCACTGCTGTCTTGTGGATGACTCTACTGCAGCCTCCCTCCCACTGCAGGATTTCGTTCATCAGAGTCGGCAGGAGGCTGCTCCCACGCAGCATGCGGGTTCCGGGGCAGGGAGGGGTGGCTGTGCCGCCCCAGAGCGTGGGGACAGCCCCGGCTGCCAGGATTGCGGGGCGGCAGCCAGCGACGTGTCGTGCATTCAATGCCTGAAGCACGACAGGGCTGCATTTAAACCGTAGATAAAGACGTATGTGTGCCGTGAGGGCTTGTTTTGGACAGCTGCCTGAGGGTATATTCATTCAGATAATGTCCATGTTCTCTGTTCGCCATAAACTATTTGTCTGCTGCAGCTTTTCAATTCACTGCAGTACGCAGCTCGGCAAGCTCCCTGTATAATGAGCATGGCCTCCCTGGCTGGGAACAGCATGCCATGATGGAAAAACAGCACACTGCTCCAGAAACCCTGCGTGTGCGCAGGAAAGGGCCATGCTTGGCCTGATTAAACCTCAGCCTTCCCAAGAATGCTCCAAAATGCAGTGAGGTTATTCCCACCCCAAGCTTTAGCGCTCTCACCAGAGCCATGTCGATGCGTTGGCATTTCCAAAACAGGTCACGAGAGTTGTTTTTCTTTTGAATGAAGAATTTTGTTTTCCATTCTTTTTGGGCTCGAAAACAGCTAAGCTGATGATTCAAGCCAAAAAGAAAAATAAATCTGTTTTGAAGCAGGAACTGTCTTGAGAATTTAAATCCAATAAGTACAAGTATTAAAAATACATCACTCAGTAGAAAAGCTGGGACTAGGAATAGCGAAAGCAGCTCTAATGTAGGCTAAGGATGTAGTTAATGTTCTCACTGCAAGAAAGAGAATGGACCTCAAATTACTGAGAAATTGCACATTTCTATCCTTCAATGGAGCTGCCTTAGCTACTTTTTAAGACACCTTTTTTAAAAGGAATCAGGATACTGCTAAAACAAGGTGTCCAAAAATTGTAAACCTCTGACTCTGGAATCAAGGTTATCTTAAAAAATTATGTTTTTATATATTTATTTTATATATGTTTATATCTATATACATGCATATATACATACACAAATAATTAAGTATGCTACATCCAGATTCTAGGTTTCTCCCACC